TAATGATTAAGGACTCCTGTTTGTTATATTGGATCTTTACTACCACCGTCACCATCTCTTTATTTAAAATAATTTTTCCTTTTTATTAAACTGAGTTCAATCAAATGGGCTTGTGACAAAGAACACTTTGATTATTGCCATTTATAATTCGTCATCACCTTAGTTTTGGTTGTCTAGATATATATTAAGTTAAGTTAGTTTTTGTTGCATTGTTTTTATTCAAGGATAGTTATTCTCCAGATGTAACAAACTATTTCAGAAACAATCTTTTATACTAGGGATCTGAATCAAATCTTAAATTAGAAAAATGTAGTTAGTCCTTAGATTTTACCTTATGTTTGATTCTACTTATTAAGTAAGTACTCCAAAAAAAATTTCTTTCAACATGGATCACTGCTTAAGTAATAATTCATGGATAGCTTAAGTAATAATGCAGGATAACTTGAGACTGTTCTCAAAATAAATGAAAATAATATAACTTACAAAATTGAGATTCGCATTTATTGAAAACTTTCAAAAACAGGTTATTTTTAAAAATTGAAAGACCTGAAGGTAAAATAGATGCTCTTCTGATGTTGTGGTTTGAGATGGTTTCTATAGGAAAAAAGGAATATTTATAGTTAAAAATGTTTCTTGAGTGCAGTCTATGAATTTGACCTTTATTCCAGTGATGAAGTTTGCGGAGCCACCACTTCCCCCCCCCTCCCTTGGAACCATCAATTACTCGCTGAGTAAAAACATTTGAATGATTGCAGTTGTACATTGCCTGTATTAGGGAGATAATCCTTCAGATAAAGGATACCCCATTCTAGTTTTAGTTCTTTCTGTATGATGTAATCTGTGGTCTTCCTCAAGGCTATTGTAGAGGATTCCATAAATATGGTGGTTATTATTGCATTATAAGTAATTCTACCTCTTGAAATTAGATTTCCATATTTAATCTTAATCTTGTCTGTCTGATGTTAAATAAGTGATATTTTTTTATCAAAACAGAATTTTATTCATTTAAGAAAAAATATATTATTTAGAAAATATGAAATATATCTTTTAAAAGTGATAATCAAGACATCTGTTTGTTACATCTTGGTTTCTTGTCAAAATATTCCAGAAAAACTATTCCATATCAACCATTGAAAATGTTGGCTGTGTTGTATTAAGGCTGTGTTTAATTATTTCTTCACCATATTTATTTCAGTCTACATCAGACACTTTTCGGCTAGTAAGCCATTTTATTGAATCATGCTTGTTGCATGTAGCCCATAATCAGATTATTATAATTCTGATTATGGACTACATGCAACAAGCATGATTAAATAAAATGGCTTACTAGCCTAAACGTAGCTGATGTAAACTGAAAGAAATATTGTGAAGAAATAATAAAATAAAGCCTTGTTTTATAGTATTATAAATATTTCACCTAAAACAAACAAGCACGTATGGAGTCAAATTATTGTTCTCTAATGCAGCAGTAAACATAATTTTGCTAAAGTTTACTTACTTAGCGTGTTATTGTTGATGAAATGATCATTTCTGCTCTGGTTGTATCATAATCTTACATATGTCTATATTTTTTATGCCTTTGTCTTTCATTCAAGAGAAGACAAAACTTATCAGATTTTGGTTCTTAATAAATTTAGTAGTTTACCTTTTGATAGTATGGACTTCTCTTAATACCTTTTGATAGTGTGGAGTTCTCTTAGATTAGTAGGGAGATTAGTATAACATTCCTGTCTGTATAACCTTCCTTGACAAGAATTATGATCTATCTAAAGCTGCAATAATTTTAATCATTATAATAATGCTAATATTTTAGATGAATTATTTGAGTAACAGGTTCCAGTGTCTATAACTATGATGCATAAATAATAGTTAGACCAAAACCTGAGTGGATGTAGTGTCTTATAATAAACGGAACAATCAAAGAATTCATTACTCATGTTGAATTTAAGTAATTATTTAAATGAATATGGGCTGCAACCATTAAATCTTGAGGGAGTAAAAAAATTATTGTATAGTTAAAATATAATAATATACAACTAGTTATATGATTACTTAATGAGTTATTTCACCAGCTTGCATAACATCTAATGCAAACATCCTTGCTGGCTAAAATTCAGGGAAGGGTATCAAATAAATAATAATGAAATTAAGTGTTCTCCTCAGTTTAATAAATTATAGACCAATGTGTGTTGGATAAGAGAAGTAATACAAGTTAAAGGAAATTCTTACTGTGCTGCCAATCAGCTCGTGGCTCCTCTGATTGCTTTAGATCATTGGTTGGGGTGAGGTAGTTGACACAATCAACGTCAGGAAAGTCTACTGTTTTCATCAATCTCCTCTCTTCATCTAAAACATTTAATATTTATATTTAATTTATCAATTGGACACATTAAGTTTTTTAAAATTCATATATGTATATAAACTTTTTTTTTTTTTTTTTTTTTTTTTGTGAAAGTTTGGAAATAATATTGTTTGTATTGGTTAATTTACAAGTTATTATTTTATATTGTAATCTCTAAGCATTAAGTAAGTTAAGCAAGTATCATAGGTTTTGTTTTATCATGCTCAAAATCAGACATATACCAATAAAGTTATATTAATTTTTTCTAATAGCAATCTGAAATAAATTTACCCTGTCAATGTCTGAAACTTTGAAAATATGATTTTTGGTAACTTTTTTTTTTCAAAAGATCAAGTTCATGAGATGTTTATTGCTTCCAATATTACTTTTTTCTTTCGTTTATCTATAAATGGAATATATAGTAAGGGTAAGTATTTTGATCGTGAAAATTTTTGAATGGATTGAGTTTTCAATGGAAATTTATGTTTTGAGGTCCTCTGAGTCCAAATAACCAAGTTAAGCAAAATTGTCTGTGTGTGTGTGTGTGTATGTGTATATATGTGAACAGTCTAGCTCAAAAACGAAAAGTCCTATGAAACTGATATTACTTACATATTTAAGATAGGTATATGACTCAGATGTTACAGCAACTTTTTCCTTAAAATCGGCTAACCGGCAGTGCCACTTTAAATCAATGGTGAAACACATTTTTAAAATTTTCTCAAAAACGGCTCTAACGATTTTGATTAAACTCAGCGTATCATTGCATAATTAAGTTGTCTTTAATATCATTTAGGTCTTATCTCCATTGATGTCATTTTATGGAGCTTAAATGTCCAATGTTCATATACATCTTCCTCTAAAGTATCTTTAATATGGTTTATTTAAAAAAAAAAAATTCTCTTTTATTAACAGTAACTATAAAAATGGCTAAATATGAAGATGTAGAGAAGGTTGACCGTGATTTGATGATATGAGAGGAAGTTGGTCGGGGGTGCGGTCAAATAAATACTAAATTTTCAAAAATTGTATTTTTAATTGTTACGCCTAAATATAAAGTTTGATAATTCATAATAACTCATAGGTTAAATATTCAGACGTACTTTCAAATCTCTCTAGGCATATATGAGCCTTTCAGTTGACAGAATTGACTAACTCCTCTAATTTCAATATTCTTTATTATTGATTTTAATGATGTTTCTAGTGGAAAAATTTATACCTTTGTTCACAGTTCTATATTTCAACACTGCAATCACCTACTCTGGAATCAACTTACTGTCTGTATAGATATAACTTTTTCAACTAGAAATATCACTAAAATGACATTACTCAAAAATGTTGAAATCGGAGTTAGTCATTCTATCAACTTGAAAGGCACACATAGATCAGACATTGAAGTTAGACATTTTGTAAAAAAAAGAAAAAAAGTTATGTGGTTTATAAAAGCAGATGGAGTAACTAGATTTTTATTGTCTACTGTCGAGATAATAAATAGAGTTTTGTAATTTCATTGGTCTTAATGATTTGTTTTATGCTAAGATTTAATCTTTAGCTCCGTTTAAAATGCGCTTCAAAAAATTTATAACAGCCCAATATTGTCAGAATCTAATTTCTATTCAAAGTAGAACAATAAGTTAAAAGTTGTGTGTTGGGCGCACCATATTTTTTGTTTCCATTTTGCCCAGAGATTGTATAGTGTTTTGGTTTCTTAGCTTTTGTATATCTTTTATTATATCTTAAATAAAAAATTATTGTTGGTTCCATTAGTGTTTTTATATTTTAGTTATTTCTTTTGTTGGATTTTTAAATCATTTTTTTGTAATAATAATATTTAAAAACCATTTTTTTTTTTATTAACATAATTACATCAATTTATTTACATCAAATAAGGTTGGATCAGTTATATAAAAATAAATAGCAGTAATCACCACAAAATTAGGTTGGGAATATTAGTAAGAAATATTTATTTCTTACCATAAAAATGGTAATACCATAAATGTGGTAAATGTGAAATTTAACTTTGTAAATGAATGAAGGTCATAGTTGGTATTCAAAGATACAATTATAGTGTATTTTTATAGGTAATGTTTTTAATTTCATTGATGTCTTCACCAGACCAAAATAGAATTTGAAATAACCACTAAGTTTAAAATGTGCTCCTAATTCATTTTGTCCATTTTCTGGCAAAATTAATTTTGCATTGGAACTTTAAATTTTAAGTCAGAAATATTTTGACTCACATTAGTTTTTACTGAGTCATAAGAGCATTTATTTTTTCAATAAATAATGAATTTAAAAACTAATTGCATTTTGGAGCTCCTTAAATATTTTATTAACTACTTTTATTGAACCCCATTTATGACAAATAGTTATTCAAATATTAATACTAGTAATAATACTAACTCCAATTGACTTATATATTGTTAAACATTTTTCTTTACATTTGTATGGTCTGTGTTCTTTCTGCTTTATCAACTCTCAGGCTTTTCATCGTCCCTTCTGAAAATCCAATTTTCTATTCTCTTAAGCCTCTTCTTCATTACAGCTACTAAACATTATAACCTCTCTTTTCTTTTTTAATTATTCAGACCAGCTCATGTATTATTTTAAATTAGTTGATGTTTAATTATAAACCTCTGACATTTATTTTTTCTTTCAGAGCAATGCCAGAAGCAGTTAAGGAAGTAGTTGCAGAAGTTTCTCAACCAGCGCTTAAAGAAAATTCCCCTGATAAATTGCCATGTAAAGAAGTGAAGCCTGCTGAAGCTTCATCTGGTACACTTCCAGCTGACGAGGAAACTACAAAAGATGCTGGTGAAGGTGCTGTTGCACCAGACCTAGGACAAGGTGAAGCTCCAGAGCAAGGAAAAAGTGAAGAAGCTCCTGAGCCAAAAAAAAGTGAAACTCCAGAGCTAGGAAAAAGTGAAGCTCCAGAGCAAGGAAAAGGAAAAACTGAAACTACTGGAGAGTCAAAGGATGATTCAGTGGATAATAAAAATGATAATTCTGAAAAGGAAGTTAAAGAAAATTCACCAGATGACAAAACTGTATCAGACAAATCTGATGCTAAAAAAGATGTTGCCGTTAAAGAAGAAAAGACAGTTGAAGAGTCAAAAGAAGTTAATTCAGATGAGAGTATAAGTCAAGAGTCGAAGCAGTCTAGCCCTGAAGAATGTAGAATCGAAGAATCAAAGCAAGCTAGTCCTGAACAAAGCAAAACAGAAGAATCCATGGAAACTCAAACATCTGAAAAAATTCATGACCAGGATTCAACTGCCGAAAAAGCAACTTGTGAGAAGATTCCAGTAGAAGAAGGCTCTGATAGTAAAGATGGGAGTAAACTTAAGCAGACTGAGCCTATTGTAGATCAAAACGAATCGAAAGAAGCAGAAACAAAACAAAAAGATGAATCTATGGATACCAATCCTGAAGAAAGCAATAAAAATGAAGATGCTAAGGCAATTGACAATGTAGTAGAAAAGCAGGAATCAGTCCCTGAACCTAGTAAAGATAATGCTGTGGAACCAATGGAAGAGACAATGGATTCCTCTACCCAAGAAAAACAAACAAAGGAAACTATAGAAGAAAAGTGTGAACAAAACATTGAAACCATGGAAACTTCCAGTCAGGATCCCAAAAATTCTGAACAGAAATCATTAGCAGAAAATAATGAAAATTGTAACAAATCTGATAAAAAAGAAGAAAATAAGGAAGTAAAACAAATAGAAAGCACTAAAATGGAAGAAGTGACTGATAAATCAACATCTGAAGAACAGAAACTTTCGAGTGAGTCTTTGCCTATTTCAGGAGGAAAAAAGGAAGAAGACAAATTAAATGATGAGACTTCTCAGGAGAATGCTTCTGCTTCAGATGTTAATCCATCCACAAAAGAAAATGATTCATTGGTAGAAAAGTCCTCTAGTGGTGTTGCTGTTACATTAGACAAGAGTACAGATATTAAATCAGATGGTTCTGAAAAATCAAGTGTTAACGAAGAGAAAGATTCTACAGAAACTAAGAAAGAATCAGAAAAACAAACAGACTTACCTCTAGAAAATGGTAATGCTGATGGTTCAGGATCTTCAAAACAAGTCGATGCTGAATCAGCTGAAGAAATAAAGCGTCAGGTAAGGGAAGGAAAAGGTTTACTGGCAACTGGAGATTACTTCACTGCTGCTGATATTCTTGGCAAAGCCTGTGAAGCAGCTGGTAAACTTTATGGTGATTTAGCTAATGAAAATGCTGAACTATATTATTTATATGGTTCTGCAATGCTGGAATGTGCTAAGAATGAAAACAATGTTCTTGGTGAAGGAGTAAAAGAGAAAGATGATGAGGAAGGGGCTGGCGAAGATACTCAAGACATTGAGGTTAATGGAGATGAGCAAATGGAGACGGAAGAAAATGTTGATGGTGAAGAGGAAAAAATGGCTGTAGATTCAGATGAAACTGCCAAGGACAAGGAAACAGCAGATAAAACCACTGAAAAGGACGACTCAGAACAGTTAAAGACTGAAAATGGTCTAGATGAAGAAACTAAAACGACAAAAGAAAATAGTGATGAAGAAGAAGATAGCTCGTTAAAGGTTGCATGGGAAATGTTTGAATTGGCCAAAATAGCATTTACTCGTATGGGAAATGAAGAGCGCTTAGCTGATACTTATGTAAAGCTTGCGGAAGTAGGATTAGAGTCTGGTAATCAATCTGCTCTAGAAGATATGAAAGCCGCTCTTGAGCTTCGGAAGAAGTGTACTGCAAATTCCAGACTTATTTCAGAAACTCATTTTAATTTAGGTTTAGGATTTGCTACTTTCGAAATGTTTGATGATGCAATAGAACAGTTTAAATTATCCAAATCACTTCTTGAAGCAAAAATTGATTCCCTTTTAAAAGTTGAAGAGGGAAAGGCTAAAGAAGAAATAAAAGACATTAAAGAACTCCTACCTGACTTAGAAGAGAAAATACAAGATATGCAGGATTCGAAAGAAACCAAATTAAAGCATGTCCAAAATGGAGAAACATCTTCTGTAGAAGCGAAACCTGAAGTTAGTAAACCTGTTTCCAATATCACCCATCTTGTTAAAAGGAAAAGGAAGCTAGAAGATGTTGCTTCAGATCTTCTTCCCAATACTAAACAGCCATGTACTGAAAAAATTGTTGAATCAGAGGAATCTAAAAAATAAAGTTTTCCCTGAATTATGTTTAATCGAGTTTAGGTCTACATTTAAACGTTACATTATGTATTTTATATTAGGCCTTGTAAACAAGGGTCATATGGTTCTGGATATTTTGACTTATCTATGTTACGATATAATTGTACATAGGCCGTGTTTTTTTTTCTGATAAGTCTGATTCTTTTTTAAGGCTTTTGTTTCTTATCTAAATTGGAAAGATTTTAAAATACGCGTAATAGTTATTTTTAAGACTGTTAGGATTCGAAAATAGATCTTTCAAGTGATGTAATTGTGATTTTTTGTTCCTATTTATTTTTATTATTACATTTTACATATAGTTAGCTTAAGTTCTATGTGTATCCATTAATGTTAATACCACAACTTCTTAAGACGTTTTTACTATTTTTATAAGTGCTTTTCTATTAATAAATGTTTTTACATACTGGTTTTATTTACTGTTAAACCTCAGTTGCTGAAAATGTGCCATTATTGAAAGAATAAAAAGAAAACTTATTAGAAAAATGTCTCTTTAAGTTATTATTAGTCGACAAATGTTGAGTAGTTAACAGCTGTATAACTGCAGGGCCAAATATTACAAATAAAGAAAGGTAATCAAATTTACCTGGCACATTAATCCAAGAAGGTTACTGTGCTTTAATCTGCCATATGTTTTTTAAAGTATTAATTAAAAGGGTTACATCGATGGTAGCAGAGTTGGACATAAGTTAGTCATTTATTTAGATAAATTTTAACTGTTAATTTGTTGTACACCATTAATATATCGACAGATAAATTATTTATAGTTGTGGTGTACAACTAACTTTTTTATTCCTGAAAAATGAATTGAGGCTGGCAATGAAGAACTAATAGTTATATCTATAGTTGCTGAATAACAATTAATAATTTGTTATATAAAAGACAAATGAATGAAAAAAAAGTTGTTGAGTTTGAATTTGTACTTCCTTTTTTTACTTTCACTTACCTCTCTCTATATGAAATATATGATGAAGGAAAGTGTTGCGATCATGAAAATTTTCTAATCTGAGTTTTCAACGGAAATAAAAGTTTTGAGGTTCCCTATGTACAAACAATCAAGTCTCACAAAATGGTCTATGTGAGTGTGTACAGTCTAGCTCGAAAACGAAAAGTCATACGAAACTGAAATTGCGTATTTAAGTTAAGTATAGGCCTTGGGGGTGGGTAGCTCAGTGGTAGGAAACATTTTCCAATACTATAAAGGTCCAGGTTCGAATCCCGCCGGACTCGTGGCATAAAAATTATTAATTCTGTTTGATTGGCCGTGGAACGATCCTGGAAAGGCGCAGACCCTTCTGGTGAACACCCAGCCTCTATAAAGTGGGTACCATTCATTAAAATAATGGATTAAGGGGAAAAACCTGGCGGTTGATAGTGATCTCGGTCAAATCACCTTGCACAACCGTAGACGAAGAGACAGTGCTTTTCCTAAATAGTACTCTGATAGTTCATGGTTGTTAGTGTTAGTTTTTTTTTTTTATAGGTCTGGGATGTTACAGCAATTTTTTTCCTAAAAATTGGTTAACCGGAAATGGCACTTGAATGTATCGATGTATAATTAAGTGGTCTTTAATATCTTAAACGTCTTATTCACATCGAGTTCGCTTAAGTGTCCACTGTTCAAAATGTCTTCCTCTAAAGTGTCTCTAATTTATTTTATTATTAATTAACTATCTGTCATTGTTAAGACTTATCAAAAAAGGTTAAATGTAATTTTTGGAAGAATTTGATAATTGAATAACGGATAAAAAAAGAATAATGCTTATCCAGGTCGAAAATGAATCTCCGGCAATAATAGAGTGTGAATGTGATCTGTTAACACTATTATAAATGTCCTTGAGACAGATTGTAATATTTTTCAATAAATAAAATAGTCAGAAGGTATACGTATCGTTGGAAAGAGGAGAATTTTAGAAAAAATTATATCTATTAATAAAGTAGAAGGTAACGGAGAGTGACGAAAAATATATAAATATTAATTTCTGAAAACTATCATTTTTTAACGTAAATCGCACGTTTTCAAGATAATTAAATGAAATTTTCTTAGTAAGTGTAAACTTAAAATTTTTTTTTCTAGTTAATGGCATTGTTTAAGGTATCATTTCATTGTACTTGTGTGAAAGAAGAAGTGAAATATAAAAATAGTTCATGGGTATGTTTATAACCTTAAATATATTTACTGTATTTTAATAATTCTATATCTGATATTATATTTAAATAATTAGGTATCTATCATCCGTTTATTCCGAAAAATCATCATGTAAACTTTTAGAAAATTAAATTAGTGAATAATTTGATGTTTCTCTTTGTGGTATCCCAACAGTGTCCACTTAAAACTAGTGTGACAACTTCTGACCTGTCTATGACAGGCGGTGTGGTACATCTCGTAATTCCATTTTAGTAAACTTGCAATGGAAAATAGCAATTTTATAACTAATGGTCTTACAATCTATAATCAACGGATCGTACAATCCATAATCAACCGTTGATATAATAACTAGGATTTTTGTTATTTTAATGGTATTAATGAATTGTTAGCTTTAAACTTCAGTTCGGTTAAAAATGCACTTCAAAAATTTTACAAATAGCCCAACATTGCCAGAAAAAAATTCTATTTAAAGTGTAGGGCTAAGTGAAAGTTGTGTGTTGCGCCCATCAGATTTTTTATCTTGAAGGGGTGATATTTTTATTAATTTCTGCCCATTCGCATTTCTTCTTTTCTGTATTGAACGGATATATAGAGAGAGAGAGAGAGAGAGAAAGAGAGAGAAACAAAGTATCTACATGAAGTGGTGTTTAAGTCATAAAAATATAATTAGACGAACAATCATACTTGTAGAGATGATTGTTTTCATATAACATGGTTATATTTTACCATTTTTTTTTTTGGAGTGGGCAAGAAAGTCCTCCTCCGCAGATTCGCCTGTGCTCTAAACAGTAATAAAACAGTTTGAATCGTGGAATATTGATCACACATTCAGTTTAGAAAAGAGGAAATGCGTCTGAGAAGTCGGAAAATAGTATGAACCGTGAAAAAGCGATCATTTATTCGCGAGAGAGAAAAAAAACAATGAAAATTCAGAAAATTTTGCCCTAATATTTCTACCCTTTTAGTCTATTTCTAAACAGTCGGAAAATAGTTTGAACCGTGAAAACTGACTATTAAAGAGATAAAAGTAGTAAAATGAATGCAAATTGAGACAATTTTTACAGTAATAATTCATTTAGTCTATTTTCGTTATCTGAAGGATTTAGAGAAAAAAGTTATCAGTTGTTATTCGACAATTATGAGAAGAACTATTTAGTTGTAGTTGCCATTGAAAATAAGTTTTCAGATTTAAAAAATAATTATTTGCCCATTTCGAAAGATAATTAGGGACTAGAATTTCACAACATATCACCAACTGTAAAAATACAAAAAACATAAACACAACAGTTTTAGCACATCACAGTATAAAATTACAGCGTAAATTTAACTTTAAAAAACCACAGATAATAGGCACAGAACCAAAAAACACCAATAGGAAATTACTTGAAGCAATACACATCACAAAAAACAATAGAACAACAGCCTACTACAAAACAGACACTAAACATTTAGGGACTCATTATACGGACATATTAAACAAAATTTAATAGAAGTAAAATTACAGATACATAAAATAAACATTAACAACAATAGTATAAAAATAGTGAGATGAAACAGTCAGATCCAAAGGTCAATTTTTCACTATGGCAGACAGCCAATTATTGGTCAAAAGCAGGATGTTGCTCTAGATGATACATTTTATAACATGAATTAGAAATTTGACGATGGAGCACATTATTATTAATTTTAAGGTAATTAAAAATTTATTGTTACAACAAAATTCAAACATGCAATGTAAGAAGCACAATATTATTACTCAAAAAATTTTTTTAGCCTTGCATCCACAAGATTATTGGGATTGCAGTTCCGAAAATGGGAATCAATATCCCGAAACGTCAACTAATTTGTTAACATGTAACGTTGATTATAGAAATATACTCAATTGTTACCAATTGGAAGTTATTATTGCTAATAACTAAAAAAAAAAAATAAAAAAAATAAAAAAGGAAGATAACTAATTTAATTACAGATGTTAATTTTTTACTTTTACTTACTTATATATGAAATAAATAGTAATGGTAAGTATTGCAATCGTGAAAATTTTCGAATGAGTTTTCAACGGTAATACATGTTGGTCCCCTGAGTTGAAATACCCAAATCTCGCAAAATGGTCTATGTGTGTGTGTGTGTGTGTGTGTTTGTGTTAACACTCTAGCTCAAAATCGAAAAGTTGTACGAATGTGAAATAGCATATTTAAGTTATTATACTTGTTCATATTTACTTGTTGTATTTATTATTAATTACAGTTGTAAATTTCGTTAATAAAAAAAGTTATTATATACTTGGAATGTTACAGCAACTTTTTCGTCAAACTCGGCTAACCGGCATTTTATATCAACGGTGAAACACATTTTTTCAATTTTCTCAAAAACGGCTCTAACGATTTTGATTAAACTCGGTGAAGCATTATATAATTAAGTGGTTTTTAATGTCATTCAGGTCTTATCCCCATTGATATAACTTTACAGGGCTTAAATGACCGATGCTCATATACGTTTCTTCCAAAGTACCTTTAATATGGTTTATTTGAAAAAAAATGAATTCTCATTTATTGACAGTAACTATAACAAATGGCTAAATATGAAGTTTGAAAGAATATCATAATTGAAAACTGGAGAAAAAAAAGAAGAAAACTGGTTATCCACGTTTTTTTTTTCCAGTAATGCCTTAAAATTATGACAATTTCGGGGCACTTTCATGTTTCTACTTAGAAACATATAACTAAACTGAGGCTAGAAGGCTGGAAGTCGAATGGGATTAAACAAGTTTAGAGAATGCTCTAAAGGAATTATTAAGTATTGGTAAGTATTAAATAGGATTAAAATATTTACAGTCCTTTGAAATTTTTAATTTGATAAAAAGGTAATTTTTTTTTATATACCCTATTATTATTATCATCCGCAGCTAGCGATCCCAAACTTATTCTCTTTCGTTTCTCGAACCTTTTACTGATGTTAATTATACATTTACGAATAACAACTATTTATTTATGTGTTCAAGACAACGACAATTAAATTAGTTGAATCAATTGCCTCCTAGCTATAATTAATTATTGTCCAACCCTGAATGATAGACTACGAAAACTTTGTCCATTTGTTTTTTAAAACTAGGTAACTCCATTCTCATAACTAGATATCTCCAATCTATAAGTAATATTAATTACACTACCTAGTAAAAACTATAGGTTTATCACTTTTTTTAAAATACATTTTTTTCTCTTATGAAATTTACCAAAATGAAGTGAGATTTTCATTTT